GAATGTGCTAGCACGCATCCGACATAATAACATTAACAACAAATATTTAAAATAAATATAAATTTAAAGTGGGTCCGTTCTCCCAACATGAAATGTCGATTATATCGTTGTGACAATCGCAATAGTCGTATTGCAAATGTTAGAAACCTTGTACGATATTTATTTTTTTATTGATGTGTAAAATCTTTCCTCTCGCTTTCCTGCAATTTGTGGGAGTGATTTTGTGAAATGGGACAGAAGTGTGTAACAGGAAGTGGCGAAACCGCGCGCTATTTGATTTGATTTTAGAACATAATTTTCAAATGGCTTATTCCTTTTGTAGTAGGTTTTATTTCTTTTTTTACAAATTTAAGGTTAGTTTTCAAATGTTACACACATTTGTTAGGTTATTTCCTTTGTAAATTCTTTCCATTTTATTATATTTCGGATTCAAAAAGAGACAGCGGTACCCTTATAGGGTCAGATTTTTGTCCGTCTGTCTCTCTGTCAAGACCTTTTATCTCGGGAACGCGTAGATATATCGAGTTATTTAAGACATATGTGTACTCAGGTCTACGGTCCCACGAAGCTGTGAAAAAAAACAAACTTCTAAGTTAACGTAAAATACGGTAAGGCCGTATTAGGTACCACTACATAAAAAAATGTACGGAACCCTCTGTGGATGAGTCCAATTTGCACTTGTTGGCCTTTTTACAGAATGTTGAAGTGAGATTTACTTACCTACCTACAGTAAAATGACGGTGATTTAAAAAAATACATATTGGGGGTTTTTTTTCTAACACTTTTATACGATGCATGGTGCAAAACCATTGATTGCACTTAGCCTCCTTTCTTACTATGCATATCTTATATAGTTAGTGTTTTTTGCCTTGAGATTATATAAACAAGTTGACAAATCACCTTTGAAACCTTGCTTACTTTCTTCTTATCAAATAAGCAAATTGACTACCAAAATTGATATGAGTAGTATAGTCGAAACCCGATCGTCGATAACACTAACATTATAAATTTCGCTCTTATTTAAGAGTGCTTAACAAAGTTGCTACCAAATTGTATCCTATTCACCATTAGATCCTTTATTAAGTACAATAAATATTTGAAACTCTAATTATGTTATGCAACACAAATATCCAATAATAATTAATAGATTAGAATACTGCATTATCTACCTGATTATCCTCATCTATATAAACTTATAAATTACCTTACTAAGAGCGTGCGCACCGTTAAGCGGGGCACGGAGCGGGCGTCCGCTCGGCGTGTTTGTTTCATAGACTAGCTGCCGCGGGCTACCGTGCATGCTCGATTGGCTTTTTTCTGTGCTTTTGTCTGCGTTTTCATTTAACTACATTTTGTAGGTAGTACTCGTATTCAATTTTAGATATTTTTTTTTTATTTTTTTTATGATACAGCATTAGTAAATACATATAACCCTGAATTTTCACCCTTCTACCACCAGCCCCTATTTTTATGGCGGTACGAAGTTCGCTGGGTCAGCTAGTTTCTATATAAATATGCTTTTTTTATGTATTATCGTATATATATTATATATATTTACGTATTATCAACAAAATAATCCAATATATATCGACTGTTCACCCGCGCAATTGAAATTGTACTGGCATAGGCCTCTGCCACGACGGGTTGAACGGGTCCCGCGACGGCTTGCTGAACGAGCTCCGTGTCCCGCTTTTATATGCGCACACCCTAGCATATATAGGTATATAGCTACATAAAAGCGGTATAGAAGTGTAATTTAATAACAAATCATGATGATTCCTAAATCATTAACATTTCAACGATATAACATTTAATTAGTTTGCGAACGCAAGCAACCTAGGTATCAGCTGTAATTTTTCATGTAAAAGACTTGTTATCAAATTAATCTAGGCACGTCAGCGAAAAGTGTGTGAATTCCTAAGTTCGAATATTACTAGTGCTTTCGGATACAGTACCTTAGTTGATACTCAGTCACATCTCATTCATAATGTCAACTGTCAGCGAAGGATTCACAATGTATTTTCTATGAATATATGTGTTATCCACATAGCGGAAGCCATAAGAATAGAGTAGGGGAGTTAAGTATTCTACTACTAGTGGAAGTGTCCGTCTAGTAGAAAGAGAAGGAAGATGAGGGACGGCTAGCTATTTCTCTCTCTTGTTACGCTGCGCAGTCGTGTGATTGGTCGGTATTCATCCGTAGGTTTTACATCCAATGCGCATTCGCGATTAGAGAGAGAGAAAGGCTAGCCGTCTCTCATCTTCTTTCTCTTTCTACTTGACGGACACTTTTAGAGCCGCCTTCCCCACTCTATTCTTATACCTTTACGGTTATCCGTCGGCTATACATTTTTTTTGTAGGTCACATAAATATTTAGTAAGTACTCCACATTTACTTTTTATTTCCACTTTACGACAGGTAGGGCAAAGCGGAATTGGAACTTGCTTTTGGAGCTTTCATCTTGAATTTGAGCTTGCTTCCCCAGACCGGCTCCATGTCCATTTCATCATAATTTTGCATTGTCACGCAATAGGTATAGTATACCTATATGTGTAAATTGTACATTTCAGCTCAATTGGAAACCGAAAAGGATGCCAAAAATAAATAGTAAATATTTCCAACATTCACACCAATTAGCCTAGCCCCAAAGTAAGCACTATACGCATACCTATATGTGTAAATTGTACATTTCAGCTCAATTAAAAACCGAAAAGGATGCCAAAAACTGTTAAGAAACTGACAACAGGACTAGTAAAACATAGAAAAATGGAAATGTAAAAAGAATAGTGAAATTAAATAAGACAATAATATTATTATATATTATATATAGTATTAATTAAACAATAATATTGATAAAATTATAATAAAAAATATACGAAAACAATGGAGAGAAATTTAAATTTTACCGCCATTTATTTTGCAATACAGATTAGGCTGTATAAACTAAGCTAATTTTACCTACCTATGCGCAAAAATTTACAAACAAATCTGTGATTCCATCGTAGTAGGTATCCTTGAATATAGGGAGAAAATAAGCGGAGTTATATATTTAGGTATATCTTTGATATACATTTTTATACCATTATTTTTAAATGGTGTATACCAGTGATATATTCATACTGTCCCACTAATATGTATAACAAATGAGAAAATTCATATCTTTATGTTGTATATATAAATACAATACAAATATTACAAACTTATGTTAAAATAATTTATTCAGTATTTTAATTTTTGTAGACCTTAAGTGCACCATAATGACCTTGGCAAACTTTAACCCAAAAATAAATAGTAAATATTTCCAACATTCACACCAATTAGCCTAGCCCCAATGTAAGCACTGTAAGCTTGTGTAATTGGATACTAGGGTAACGGATAGAATACTGATACATATACATATAAGTATATTTATATAGAAATACATATTAAACACCTATGACTGGAATACAAATGCTCGTATTCATCACAAAAACATTTGCCCCACCGGAATTCGAACCGGGACCTCTGAGTAGACGACACCTTGAAAACCGGCGTACATACCAATCAAGCCACGGAGGTCGACAAAATACATCATAACAATCATAATACACAATCATCTGCAAAAGTGAGAAACCCGGCGTCCAAACCACACGGCCACAGTGGTCGTCAAAAAATCCATATAATATTATATTATTAATGCGACAGCGTGTCTGCCTATCTTTCTGTGGGTTTGTTACCACTTTCCGTGTGTAACACGGAACCGATTTAAATGAATTTGGTATGAAGATAGTTTCTTTCGAACATTGGAAACAGGATCGTTTTGATCCCTGAAACCTTAAAGGGGTGAACAGGTGTAAGAAACTTATATTACAAATGTGAAAGTTTTGTATGCTCGTCACTAACTGTATTTTGACAAAGGTAAAACCTTAGGAAAAATGTTTGGCTCCTGTGCCAATTCTAAAAACTTACCATATCGATAATTAATGAAGTCGAGGTCCAAAAAATCTTTGAAGCTTTTTTTATGACAAAATCCACTCAGTCAATTTCAATCTTCTCAGTCAAATCGTAGAAACCTTCAACAGCAAAAGGGTTAATTTGATTTTCCGCCGAAATCGTACCCATTTAAAGAAGTGACCTCGACAAAGAAGCCTATAGTGAATAAAATGGTGCTGTTAGTTAAATTAAATTCCGAGGCTTCATGGGGTAAAGAAAGTCAGTGTAGGAAAGGATATATTGGTATTGGAAGCGTGTTGACTTCGACATTTCATAGTAATGTTATTTAATAACGTATTCGTTATTATATAACATTATGCTATTGCCTAGCAAAATATATTATGAACTTTATAAATATTTGATTTGTTATTATCACTTACAGACTACCTACGACTATATATGTCGAGACCGTTTTCATCGTTCAAATTGAAAAGTTTGATTTTTAGAAGTAACATCAAGCAGCGTAGGAGGAGTAGACTCACCAAACAAAATTTGGGTTTAGAATTCCGTAACCAAAAGGTAAACTAGGACCCTATTACAAAGATATCACTGTCCGATTTTCTGCCTGTCTGTCACCAGGCTGAATCTCATGACCCAATGATGACCGTGATAGCTAAACAGAAGAAAGAAGTTTTATTTCTTTTGCCGCTGTTAAAAAATTAAAAACAGAATAAAAAACATCAACATAATTTTGATTTTCATGTCATTTTTCATTTCATTTCATCTTTTTGCTTCAGTATCTATTTGGTTTATTTATACATTGGTTACATTCATACAACAGACGTGATTTCTTGCCGTTTTTTGTTCGATATTATAATAAAGTGGCTAAAATGTTGTATAGATAGTGGTACGGAACCCTTCGTGCGCAATTCCGACTCGCACTTTTTACACAACAATAACTATATTAAAAAAATACTATAATAATTGTAGACATTTTTATGTACGACGCTTTTTTTAGGTAACGCTGAATTTAGGGTAAATATTTGTAGAATATGGTATTCCTATCATGTCAAATGTCCTGTCAAAGTGTTAATGTCATGTCATTTAATGCCTGCCTTTCGTTTCGTTGGCCGGCCGGTGTACGAAACACATTTTGTATTTGTCGTTATTATTTCTTAATTATTAGAAACTAAAATGTCCCATTTTAAACTTATTTCGACAACGAAAGCTTCAGATGTGATTCCTGTAAATAAATATGTCTCGGATAAAACTGGACTTACTGTTATAATAGCCGAAACCGAAGGCCCTCTCGTGAACGGATTTTTTTGCCTTGGTGAGAAACACAATTTTTAGGTATTTTCCGCTAGTTAGCCTAATCAATAAGTATATTTTTTAATAACTTCGTATTTTTTACACCAGCGACCGAGGCAGAAGATGATGACGGGTTACCTCATACTTTGGAGCATCTTATATTCTTGGGATCTGAACGTTACCCATATAAAGGCATCTTGGATTTGTTAGCTAACCGATGTATGGCCCATGGCACCAATGCTTGGACTGATACCGATCATACATGCTACACAATCAACACAGCAGGTGATGCAGGGATGTTGACTTTACTGCCTATATATTTGGACCACATCCTACACCCCACTCTCACTGAACAAGGCTTCATTACGGAAGTTCACCATGTTGATGGTGATGGTGAAGATGCTGGAGTAGTATACTGTGAAATGCAAGGCCGTGAAAACACAGCAGACAGCAGGTGTGTATTATTATTATTTATCTATATATACCATATGTAAATTAAACAAAAAGGTACATATTAACCAAAATAAATATATAATATAACAAAGCAAAGTTAAATATTTATTATTAATAAAACCAAAGTTAAATATTTTACCACTTATCACTGATATTTTTTGTATGGTTTTATCTGTGATCAATCCAACTTGACTATATACAGATCGTTTTTAGGGAATTATCACTGATATGGGGCAATAAATGTTTAAAAAATATTTTTAATCTGTAAAATATTCTAGGTCTTGAGTAACAAGGAGTCTTTTTGCGTGATGTTTTTCATGGACTTACAATCTTTTCCTGTTAGTCTATGCAGGATTTGTTTATTTTACTTATATCCTTGTATTTGTGCCCTATTTTCATTTTTAATTATAATATGAAACAATCAATATTTTTAATACATTATTTTGGAATTTTAGAAGTATTTCAATGTTATATTGAATTTTCTGAGCTTCGGAGCACTATGACACAAATCCAAACTGGCTTTAATTTAAAAAAAAAACCTGTTTCTAACTATACTGCCAGAAATAAGAATGTATCAGCTGTAAATTCATATCAGAAAAAGCTGTTGGTTTTATAAGATTAAAATACTAGTCAAAACCTATGTTGATAGTATTCTACAACTTAAATATTTCATGTATTGATTGCTGCAGCTAAACATGTATAAACTTAAAATTATTCAGTTGATTATCACCATTAGCAACCTAATAACCACCATTGCTGGAGTATGGGCTTTATCCTATGAACAGATTAGGGTGAATAGGCCATAGTCCACCATATTGGTGGAAGTAAACACTGCATAAATATAGCCAGAAACTATGTCATGACATGCTTTAAAAAGCAGGGAGGAGAGATATTGAGATGTGAATGAATTTTTGGTCACTCATCCTGTGGCCACCCTTTGGGAAATGCTGTAGCTTTTGCTTATGCTGTAGCAGAGTGAACACATTAGCTATTGCACCATTATGGTTATCTTTTAGTTGGTATTGTCAAGCACTCAGGCATCAAGAAGTACACATAAATATACACATTACCTGAGGATTTTTGGTTACTTATAACATTTTTTTCTGGAAACTGGAACCCTGTAATCCTATCAAACTAAAATTCAACAGCAAGCTAATAATTAATGGAATTTCCATAAATGTTAATGAGCTCTTTTTTTCAATCAGATGTGAGTTACGGCTATTGAGAACAATGTACCCTAACAGTGGGTATTCAATGGAAACTGGTGGTATTATGGAGAATCTTAGAGTTTCTACTGATAACACTAAAGTAAGTAGATATCCTTGTTTCCAATTGGATTTTATAGTCGTCTTTTGACATAATCTTAGCAGCACCGCTACAACAATATAATTATTACAACAACTTAAAAACTACCTAATATATAAAATTTGAATACAAATTACCTTAACCTACTTACGAATAATATATAATTTACAAAATGAAAAATATGTCACCCCCAGCACCGCCGTCAGTTATGGTGCCCAATAGGCTGGCAGTATTGCCTCGTTGAATGGCAAGGCTGATCCGTTGACCAAAATAGCTGCCAGCCTTTTAGAGTAGTCAAAACAATCGAGGGCAGTAAAAAAACTGTCTTTGTTAGGTTGCGTACACATAGCAATCTGTTATACAGGTCTGTTATTTGTTGGCGTTGTAATGAGCGAATTTAAAAACGTTACAGTATTCTGGATCCAGTAAAAAATACTGATCTGACAAAATATGCAACAGTTCATTTTACAGGGCCGTTTAAACATATCCGTTATTGGCGTATTTAGTGTATGTATGAGCTGGTTCATACACATGACAGTATTCCAGATCCAGTAAAAAATCCCACACAACAGAAATACTGATCTGTTTATTGGATCGAAGTTGCGCGAGGCTTGGTATGTGGCGAGGTATGGTGGCGAGGCGTGGGGTGCAGTCTGCTACCAGTATCGTCGAATCCGTCAAATTCGGCCCTGCAAATACTGTGTGAATATTATCTCTACTAGCAACGGATCTGTTACTTAAAAGCATCCTGTAAAAACGGACATGTTTACGCGCCCTTAGTGAGTAAGAGTATAATAGCTCTATGTGGTAAATTATCTTAATGTAAATTATAGGGGGCATACAAGCAGACTACACACCTGATAGTGAGAGATCACCATCGCACATACACATGTGCAACACCAAGAGTTACACAAATGTGATACTGCCCTTAAAGGAAGGACTACTATATTTGGGTGTTATTGTTCTGGAAACACTGCTGGCGACAATATACTCCAAAGTTTTATGTTACTTGGTAAAAAAATTCAACAGAAACGCGTGGTTGTGGATAGCCACGGGTATAAAAAAGTTCCTGATATCGTAATCGTGTATTTAATGTGAAAGACAGGCCTTATTCTGAAACTTGCATAGTTGCACAGAGCAAATTCCCGCTGTCCGACACTGGCATAATGGATATTAAAGCTAATTTATTATTGGGCAAATAAACATCGCAAGGAAAGTCGACATAAACGTTTTTTCATAATAAGTAGGCTACTGAGTGGAGAACAAACACAAGACACGTACATTTGCGTTTTTGTCACTAACATAACATCACATGCAAACACAAATATTTCTACTTATTTACAAGCTTAAGGTGTGATCTTCCGGTTACCATATATTTTTTTGCAACTTTTAGGTAAGAAACTTCCACAAGAAATTCTACAGGCCGGAAAACGTGACTATAATTTTAACAGGACAAATTGCAGCAGATGACGTGTTCAAAGCCCTAGCCACTGTCGAGGATGATATCATATCCAAGGTAAATTCACACACTTAAGACAATGATGCATATAGTCATCTATATAACCTATATAACATATAATCAGATATCTATTCAAAGAGCAACTATCTGGGTAACTAACTTCCACCTTACAAGAAGACCACAGTTGAATAACACTACCTTTTGGTGTTTCCTTTTGTTTAGAGTAAGGTTTCAGGGCTTCAAGTGTTTGGGAACGAAAATAATATAGGCAATGCACGAATGATCGTTTACAGTATCCCAAGAGTTTTTAGGCTACCACTTACAATCGGCGTGCCATATGATAGTTTGCGAACTTATTTACATTTAAAAAAAATTTTTTTTCCTGTTTGCGTATTCGCAATGCAGGCTAGCTAATTTTCTATTTATTGCGATTGTCAATCTGTTGAAAATTATTTAGATGTTCCATACTACATAGTTTTTACCCGGCTGCGCAATGCAAGAGCGCGAAGCGCGACGCGCAGACAGGGTTATGCGTTTAACAGTCTACATATCTATGTTTGTTCCTTTGTGGCACACTAGAAACCAAATGCCTGGATCGATTTTGATGATTCATACATCAATCGATTCGTCTCAATCATGAGAGTGCTACTAAAGATATGATAGTAATCAAAATTCAATATGGGCAAAATTAGGCGCCATATTGTGACGAAGTAAAAAAATAAGTTGACAAAATATGTCGAGTGGGGTATCACTGTCTAGATAATCAAAAATCATATTTAGGTTCCTAACACCATTTTTCATTTTATATGATTGTTTAGGATCCACAACGCTTTAAAGTTGTATATTAACCACTTACGCTTTTAATTTCAATCTTACGTTTGTATGGATCTTTGTTACTCTTTCACCTAAAAAAATCTGAATGGATTTTAATGAAACTTAACAGTAATATAGCTCATAAATGATACTTACATATATATAATAATTTATGTAATTATTGAGTGAATTGGCCAATATATAACAATAAGTGTCACATAAGACGAAAAAAAATCTCCCATCTGCGAGCCATTTTGGCCTGCACTGCAAAAGCAATAAAAATTACATGAATGCAATGAAGAGTGAAAATGTATCTCTTAAATAGTTCTAAAAAAAAGTCCGTGACACCATATATCTATTTTTAATGTGTAAGTCATTACCACTAAAATATTGAATCAAAACTAAAATATTATTTGATATCTATTTCCAAAATGCACATTTTGTATTAACAAATTATTTTTTATCAAAACAAATACTTTTATCGCTTTTGATATTTAAAGACGATAAACTTTGCTTTTTACACTATGTCATTTCGACAAATATTTAAAAAGTTACAACGATGACAAAGTGATAGCGCGGTGTACTATGTAAAAGAAAAAAAAAGGTAAATTTAAAAAAATCAAAAAATAGTTTGAAGTATAATTAAGCAGTCGGGTTTTTTGATTTTTTTATTTATTAAGAGCCCTTTTACAAAATTGCGCCGCTGCCGTACTAATCGGCGCGTAGGTAGATTTGCACTTTACGGGTGATGTTTCGAGTCTTATAAAATAATTATTAATGAACTGATTATAAAAATATATACATATTTTAGTAGTTCAATTATGGTAGATTAGTTATATGAAAGTTTTTGATAGTAATTCTATTTAATTCAATATCAAAATACGAGGTAAACCTGCATTATTTTTTGGGAAAACTCACGGAGGTTAGATGTTTTTTTTTGATAATTAATGAAATGGAAAATCAAAATTGTAACACATTATGTTACAACAAATACATATTTCTGATATCGTAGTAATTAATTTGATCTTATTTATTAAACATTATTTAGAGATTCAGGCGTTTGAAGTTGTGCATATTATCGTTTTTTCCGTAAACTAGCCGCGGGAGAACGATCAGTAAAAAAAAAGGAAAATATTATTTGCAAATATTCTACATTAACTAACAATAGGAAGAATAAATTTACTGTTAACTTCTTTTGGAAATAGTCAAAATCTTTTCTAAGGGGATAAACGAGGCGCTCACAAATTACGTTCTTTTGCAAAAAATGTGAAAGGGCTCTTAAGTGAGACGCAAACAATGAGTTCCCCGCCCTCCATTTGCGCCACCACTCTAGTATCAATACTTCATGGCAAAATATGAAACAATACACAAGCGGGACACAACACTGCGAAGCCGTGTGCCATGGAATTTTTAAACTTATGATATAGGTTTCTTAGGTTTTCACGCACATCACTCATTAAATTAAAAATTTATTGACGTTTCGCAGCCTTTTCAGTTTTCTGACGATGCAGACCTGAAAAGGCTGCGAAACATTAATAAATAAATAAAGTTTCGTGCATTAACCCGTTAAAACTAGTTTTATTTATGATATAGGTTTTAGGGTTCAACTTTAATTGTTAACTTCTCAGTATCTTCGTAGTAAACCGCCCCCTTCAGCTGTATGTTTATTGTTTTGCCATATTGACATGAGATGTTTAAAAGTTGCTTTGCCACTGCGCCGATACAAACTCCTGTTTTGTTCCAGTTTTATATTTCTACCTTAAATATACACGAATGGTTGCGGCTATGCCACACCGTTACAGTACCCTTTGAGTGTGAAACCTAGCCACTATAAGCCTCCGATGCCCATACGTCCTACCGCTGCCAGACTTTCTGTCAGTGGGCTGTATCTTGTGAGCTGTACAGTTAAAATGTTCACAGAATGTGCATTTCCGTTGCCCCTATAACAACTTACAGAATTATTATGCTTTTTACTTATCCTCAATAATCCCTGTAAGTTTAGGGTAAATCTTAAACGATGGGGTGAAACCGTTCTTGTACGAAACGGGCTCTCACTTGGCATCTTTTATGTATAAATATCCATAAGAAATCGGATTACGTGTCTAAATAAAATACCAATATATAGAAAACAAATAACTCAAGCAATAGAGCAAAGTAGTTATTACACCAGCTAATTATACATTCAAATGTATTTCAAAATCACGTAGGTACCTATTGTATTTCATTTTCGGCTTTCTAACGTTCATTTTAAAGTCGTATTTCAAAAGTGTGTTACATTTATCAACACAAAGTTGTTCTTATAATGCAGTGTCGACCTCTAAATCACATCGATTGCAAAGATATTAATCTGCATGGCATGATGATTCATGAGCTATTTTTATATAAGCACAAGGAAAAAAAATCCTTTTGTTAAAGGCTTGGTCTTATTGTATCATATTACTTCATTATTTTTTTAACTCATACCCACGTAATGGGAAAGTAAAAGTGCCTTAATAAAAAAAACCCTTATGAGGAAACGATGGGAAACTAACGGCCGCCATCACAGAAGTCGAATTGCCTTTTAAATCTAACAAAATTTGATGCTGTCACTTTCTTTGGGATAAAAATATAATTATACAACATAATTAGTGAAGTATTAAATTAATTTGACGTTTCTGAGTACGGCTGTGAGTATGAGAATAAAGTTACGTATTTAGAGAGCCGAAAGTTTCCTGCTCCGATTGTACGAGTAGCACTCGAATGTTAAATAACATTATTCTGTGTATTGTTGAGATGGAAAGGTTAAAGTATTTATTCTGTCTTTGAAGCGTGAAAAGGAACCACTCGCCGAATGGGTAAAACCGTGGCAGACTATTCCACCGCCGCCCAACTATGGCGAATACAAAGAGGAGTGGCCAGCAGACACCGAGGATTGCGGACAGGTGAGACAAAACGCATGTGAACTAGGTTTTGATGAAAAACGTACCTTATAAGAAAATCTTTACAACCCCGTAATACTTGACTCGACATTAAGGCTAACGCTACTATTATTGTATGTTAATTCGAGAAAAAATAACAATATTTTTGCAAGTAAATTCATAACAGTATCTATATTAATATGTATCTCATATTGTATGTGGCTGAGCATACAATGTAAGAAACATATTTATTTGAATTAACATTCAAAAAACATCTAAGAAGTTTCTTTTAGTCTTAGGTCTACTTGCACCAATTTTGCTAAATCTCACTTTAACTACTGTGAGTAGATACAATAACGTCAAATTGACATTGAGGCGGACGTCGTCATTTGACGTCAAATTAAGCTTTATCCCATAGAAAAATGTCAAAACGACGTTTTTCTTTGGGATAAAGCTAGTTTTTGGTTGAATCGAGATTAAGCAAAATTACTGCAAGTAGACCTTAGTTGTAGAGTTCGTCTAATCTTCTAGGCATGGCTGACCTTAGCACTTAAGAATTTTTTATACACGTGCATACGAATCTCTTCTTTACGTGTACGTGATTAAAGGTGTTATTCGGATGGCGAGGGCCGCTGCTTACTTCGCCAACTGCGATGAAAGATTTGACCGGTTGCGCTGTACTGCTTCGCTATTTATGCGATACCGCCGCCGCGCCACTGCAACGATGCCTCGTAGAGAGGGAGGACGCCCTCGCCGGAGATGTGAGTGATGCAATCATCGTCATCAACATCAGCCTATTAATTCCCCCACTGCTGGGGCATAGGCCTCCCTTATGGATGGAATAGGGAGATTGGGCCATGACCCACCATGCGGTCCCAGTACGGATTGGCGGGTGCTAACGACTGCAGATACAGCCGGGACCAACGGCTTAACGTGCCTTCCGAAGCACGGAGGAACTCGGGTTAGAAGATTTTTGGTCACCCATCCAATGACCGACCACTGCGAAAGTTGCTTAACTTTAACGATCGCAGCCGAACGCGCTAACCATCTGCACAATCGAACTCGTCAAGAGTGATGCAATATTTACTTAATATCTACACCATAAGAGATATATATGAAACACCGTTTACCTACACCATAAGGAATATATTTGTGAGACCGTTTTCAATCCACAGGTTTTTGTGGTTTAGTTTATAGTGGGTATTTAATCCTGGAGTTTATTCATTTATTTGGTTACTTAATGATTTAAGATACGAAATCACGATCGAATAGTACTTTTCTATATGGATTGTAAATCTATTCTTCGACAAACTCACTCATACGACTACAACTGCAACTGGTATGATTTTGTAGTGTAGTATAATTAATTGTTTCAAAGTTTTACCAATATCATTAATTTTATAAATTTTGCATTCACTAAGTACATACTCTTTTCAAGTATTTGTTTTTTTACCAATACCATTTTGATGTCGCTACACAGGTGTCTTACAACCTTACCGAAAACATCGCGTCGCTCATCAAGATCGAACTAGACAACGTGCCCATGGACAAGCTAGAAGCAGCCCGGGATGAAGCAAAGAAGTGCCTGGCTTCAGTCCGGTCCGGGGAGATCACCATCGACATGGATCGCATGAAGAGATTGCTGAAGAAACAGCTGCGGGAGAGTCTCGCAGGGCTAGAATCGGATCCGCACCACGCAGTCGCCTTTAGATGCATCGGCGATGCGCTTTACTCGCAGAATGAAAAGGACGTAAGTATTATGACAACATTCGCGCTCGAGGGCGTCAAAATAACCCCTCAACTTTTTTTTTTTTGTGACAACGTGACATAATGTCATACGGAGTTTTTCGTGCATGCAGCCGGTGTTCATCGATTTATAAGGTTAAAAGAAAGAATAACGTCAGTCTACGTTTAAAAACCTTCTTTTTTGGTATTAAAACAAAAGCTTGTTTAGAAAAATTTGTTATTTTTATATTTATTTCTTTTCAATTTGTCCTTTTTTTTCACAGTTCGTGCTACGCATGAATCCGCAACAATCTATACAAGAACTACTGGATGAAGACGATACGTACTGGCTGGGACTGCTGCGGGAATACTTCACGGACCAACATGTGCTTATAGTCGGCGCTCCTAGCATACAGATGCAGGCCAAGTGAGATATACATACATTTCTCTTACGTTAGTACTCTAGGGCTTCTCCTCCTATGGATAATCTTGAGCGGCGTAACTTCAGATCAGCTCGCGTACTATAAAAAAAGAAGCTTCTCGCAATAATATTTTATTATCTTCAATAGTTACTTATAATCACAATCGTACGCGGCTTGACAGCCAAGCTGCAGACAAGATTGTCTTCCTTTTTAACACGCTTTTATTAGGTCGAATTATATGTAACTATGTAATAAAATCTAAGAATCTGAATTACACGCACTTTAATTCTTGTATCGTCATGAAACTTGGCAATTATATTAAGTAGATTAGATGTACAGTATTATGATACCATCCAGCTGGTCTGGTGATGGGACTGGAAGGTGGCTGATGGAACCTTGGACTGCCTACTAGTAAACATATCTAGTTTGGGCTTGTTAGATTCGTCTTAACATGTTCTATTTATTTTTCCTGATGACTGAAACTAAAAAGAGTAAAATAAATTAATTGTTTAAAAAAAACTAAAAACTCGCTTTTATTTACTGCACTAAAATGCCAAAAATTAACAAAATATTCTCTGTTTACTTCATAAGGGCCTTAGAGTTAGCTATGTTTATAGTTAAACATACAGTAGTGGTCACATAATTAAAGACACTCCCTAATTGACCACAAAATACTTACTTGTGGTACTAACATTAGCTAAAATTGGTATTTATTCTAGTTTAATTGTTATTAAACCATACACGACGTTGTATTCTTACAATGTAAGACAAAAAATAGTTGTGTTTGTTAGTAGTTTAGACACTGCTCAGTATGGGAACGTAACACAAACTTTTTTAACGTACTTGTAGCTGGCCACATAATTAAAGATAGTAAAAGCTGTGTTCTGAATTAAAAAAAAAAAGTTGCATTCTGTTTTTCTTTGTTTTGCCGCGTATTTTCATGAAACGTCGATATTACATACAAAACCTATTTTTTAATTAAAATTAATACGTTTTAAACCCAGCATTATGGGTAAAAACAAGAAATGCGATTCGTCCACTAGGAAGATTATTTTCGACTTTCATAACTAAGTAATTTTTTTTAAGTTACATAATTTTATTTTTATACCCATTTAACTGCTACATTAAATGTAAAGCAATTTTTACTACAAAAAATCCAATTCTAGGAAGCACACGGAACTCGAACCCGCCGCTATCCGGACGGATGCACTAACCAATTATGCTACCGCGACCTTAATGGTCGTGTCGAATTTCTCCTAGTATTCCTTAGGCTGCAAGGCAGCGCCATCTCTTCGCATTGTAAGTTGTCCACAATGTCAAACGAAAACATCTACATAAGTTTAAAACAATTGAAAGAAGAAATAGCAATCTATAAAAAATCTTCATCCGCATGGATTTTTTTCTAGAAAAATTTTCTATTAAGTTATACATAACATATATCAATCATGATAGAATGGCCGAAGAAGATAAGTCCAGATTAGAAGCACAGAGAACGCAACTAGGAGAAAGCGGGTTGGCTGAGAAAGCCAAGCAGCTAGAAGACGCCACAGAATTCAATTCGGTAAGCTTTATTTTTTTTCCACCCGAAGGCCCACATTTACTCACATTGTCCACTCAGACTTTGAAACCAGTTAGGGGTTTTCATCTGGAACCGTGGAAGGCTATAACCTGTTTTATTTGTGGCCACCTCTAGGCCCAACTGTCTCATCACCACAAGGAATGCAGCTTTGTTCTGCCACTCTTGCCGCCTCTTCATAGTCATCGCCGCGAGCAACTACCAAGGTTTCGTCCGCATAGCAATATATCTTTGCTCGTTCTGGAAGAGGACATCTGATCATCGAGTCAAATCCAAGGTTCCATAAAAGAGGGCCCAAAACCGAACCCTGTGGAAATCCGCACTTCATTCAACTTCAAATCAAGCCCCGGTCCTAGCGTAGTTATAAAACGTGTTTGCGAATATATCCTCGACGACTTATATTTTAATGTCCATAATAATAGTAACGTTATTTTTGAATTCACTGTGTTACCCCCGATTTTATTAAAAATTAATATTACGCAGTCGTTCCTCAATTCTTGGAGATATACGCGAACAACAATAAATTAAACACAACATTTTTTATTATATTAACGAATTAAGAAACTTCCTTTTTGAAGTCGCTTAAAAATAAAGGGATTATTAGAATCAAATTATACACCACAGTAAACTTCTTGAACATCAACCAAAGACAAAATAACCTGCGCAGTAGCAATTTTACATACAAAAACGTCTACTGCGCAAGTTTTTTGTCAGTGGTTTTGTTCAAGAAGTTTGCCGCTACCTATACTGTCATCATCATCATCATCATCAGCCTATTAACGTCCCCACTGCTGTGGCACAGGCCTTCCCTATGGATGGAATAGGGAGATTGGGCCATGACCCACCACGCGGGCCCAGTGCGGATTGGCGGGTGCCAACGACTGCAGATGCAGCCAGGACCAATGGCTTAACGTGCCTTCAGAAGCACGTAGGAACTGGAGATAGAAGATTTTTGGTCACCCATCCAATGAGTGACCACTGCGAAAATTGCTTGACTTCAACGATCGCAGCCGAACGAGCTAACCACCCGCGCCATCGAGCTCCTCACCTATACTGTAAATAATATTATTGTGATCACACAGCGTCCCCCGCCCCCTGGCACTCTGGCATCGGTACCGGTGCCGTCATGCGAGAATCTGAAATGCTTCAAGATATCCACGTGGAGCTCGGACTCAGACTCGGATCCCTGCCCGCACTTCCCTCTACAAGACTTGCCCCTCTACACTAGAGTACACAGTCTTCACACCAATTTCGTTTATGTGAGTATAAGAAAATAGTCATTAAATGCAATATAATCTATAGCTCACAGCTTTTTGTTAACTTTTGATGATGCGATCGGTTTCATTGCATACGTGGGAAAGGAGATAGTCAACACGTATTAACACTTTTCTTAAGCTTCATAGTGGTAAATGTAAAAGTTAGACAGTTAGTTTCCTCTTTTTACGTCGTCTCGTCAGTTTGTCTCCTTAGAATTGAAATGACATCGACGGACCAGAAAGATCGAAGTGACTCCTATATTCATGAACGCGTGAGGCGAGTGTCCCGTATGACGTAGAATCAAAATCGTAACAAACGATATAATGTCTTAAATGACTATTTTTGTTTACCTGTAATTGAAGTAATCTTTTCTCTAGATAAATATAGTATTCGACATGACGTCGACGGAATAGGAGGCTTGCAAGTGGCTCCTTCTATTCCTGAACGCTAAAGGCAAAAGTGTCCCGTACGAAGCGGAGACGCCATCATTTCGCACGATATAATGTCTAGATTGTCTACAGTAGTCTTCGTTCTTCTTCTTTGCAACAGGTGTTTCCGCAACTCGACGTCCTTATGGCGCCTGTTATGCGTGCGCCCACACTCAAATATAAAATCAAGTCAAAATAATCTCATCTAATTGAAATAATCTTTGCTCTACATGAACATAGTGTTCGACATGACGTCGACGGACCAGAAAGCTCGCAAGTGGCTCCCTCTATTCCTGAACACGTTATGCGAGTGTCCCGTATGACATAGAATCATGATCGTCGTAACACACGATGTAATGTCTAAATTGCCCATCTTTATTTACCTTTAATTGAAATAATCTTTGTTCTAGATGAACATAGTGTTCGACATGACGTCGACGGACCAGAAAGCTCGCAAGTGGCTCCCTCTATTCCTAAACGCGTTGGGTGAATGTCCCGTACGACGCGGAGACGCGATCATTCCGCACGAAGAAGTGATATCGGCGCTGGAACGACTCACCGTGATGTGCGCCACTAACATCGGCTTTGGGTCTGCGGGGAATTTCTCCGTGGGCTACTTTGGCAACTTCGTACTCACTGATGTCAGAGTGAGTAAATATTTTATTTTTCTTTGTGTTACCGCTTTCTGCGATCAGTCTACACTGTAAGCAGAACATTTCAATGTCTTTTCGGGCGTGCGAGATAGCTTTTTCAACAAAAAGCTCTTCTCTCGTTGTTCCATACTGATTTCCAGTTTATGCCGTTTTACGAGCCGTTTTTTTCGTAGGTTACTTTGGCAACTTCGTACTCACTGATGTTAGGGTGAGTAAATATAAACACGTTATTGAGGTGAATATCATATTTTATTAACTCACTTAACACCACACGGCCCATAAGGGCTGCGCGGGAAAAAACATTGCACGGTCAAACACCGCACGGCCCATATGGGCCGCGCTCCCCACGGGACTATAAGCCATTTTTTGTGAAGGTTAGAGGTTAACAGAGCATAGCCCAGCGCTAAGAAACCGTTATCATCATCAGCCTATTAATGTCCCCAATGCAGGGGCCCAGGCCTTTCCTATGGACGGAATAGGGAGATAGGGCCGTGATCCTCCACACGGGCCCAGTGCGAACTGGTGGGTGCTAACGACTGCAGATGTGCCGGAACCAACGGCTTAACGTGCCTGCCGAAGCACGGAGAAGCTCAAGATAATAAGTTTTTGGTCACCCATCTAATGACCAACCATTGCTAAAGTTGCTTACATTTCCCGATCGCAGGCTGAACGCGCTTACCACCTGCGCCATCGAGCTCCTCACAGAAAAACTGTAACAGTTTTCAAATAATAGTTTAGTTATAATATATTTAGTTTTTTATGTTTGATTTGTTTAAGCTTGACCCTTTTTTTCTTGCATGAGGTGCTAATTTTTTATTACACTTAGTTGATAAGGTTGTGAACAAGTTTTTGTTTTTATTAGTGTGAATAAGCGCTGCTAAGCCAATAAAGAAATAATGAATCCTTATTTTCAAGTGTCATTTAACTGGAGACCCAGTCTTAAGTCAGCATAGCTTTTACAGAAAGTAGTTTTATAGGGTGAACATCTGTGAAGCTGTAACAAAAAAATATTCGCAAGTTATGGTTGGATTTAAGATGTCCAATCCATTAGGATGTCTTTAAGAAAATCCCATCTACCTTTAAATAATAAAGTTGCTACAATACTCATTTATGGATCAGATACACGACGAGACTGACACTCAACACAAATGGCGACACTAGTGTCAATTACGTCCACACGGCAAGCAAATTTTTTTGTGTCGACATTAATGTAAACGTCTACGCGTCCTATCTCAACGGCTGCGACACGGACACTGAGCGACATCGCCACTACATCTGCAACAAAGTCGCGGCAGTGGATACACAGAGACAGTCGATGTACACACTGAGTGGCTAGTGTCTGGTGTCGTTGTGACTTACCATTACAATACCCTTAGTACGAGTTCGTAATTGTAAATTATGTTTCTATGTCCATTTTGGTGAAAAGTAACCAAATATACTTAAAATTTAAGAAGACGAAAATGATTTAATGATTGAATTTAAATACTGTTTATTTTTATTGAAACGAAAACAATAAAATCAGTACCCTTAGTACGAGTGCGAGCTCACGAAAACAATCATAGTTTTCGTAATTGTAAAACTCGTACTAAGAGTACAGAAATGAAGAGACACCAACAGTTATTACTCACCCACAAAGACTCGTCAATAGTAATTATTCATTTTCTACTTACCCAAACACTGAAATTAAAACTATTTCCTTTTAACTAATTACAAAACAAAAAGACTAACAACAATGTTTGGTTGCAGTGCGAGCCACAAGACTACGAGGATGTAGTGAATCTCATGTACGAAGTAATTTACTGCGCGGAAATCACCAAAGAGAGGCTGCTAGTATTCGCGCAGAGGCTGATTAACGACGTCGCTCAGGTACTCATTTACTATAAAATTTATTTAACGTTTGAAAAACAAGAGTCTTGTATTTATATAAGTATTACTATATGTATGTAAAAAAAGATGAAAAAAAAATGGATGCGTGTAACTTATGTACGCGCGTGAGAAGTTATACTTCTTTAGCATCATTAAAAATATTTTTTAATTGCATGCAAATAATTAATAATTACAATAAAATAATAAAAGGACTGGAAAAGGATAGTTAACACAGTCAATTAAGTTCAGTTTTAATTTGAAAAATTAAATAAATATTCAAAATATTCAATTAAAATCACTACTGAATTTAAGTTATTAGTCCATATGTAATTAGCACTTGTAAGTAACTAAAACACGTTGTGTCTATATAGAAACTAGAAACATGTGGATAAATATTATAAATATGAAAACAGTGATCAGAGGCGACGAGCGTGCCAACATTGTTTTTGACAACGCGATCATCTTATGGAGCTCCGTGGATCGTTCAAAGTACCTTTCGAACAGATGTCTAATAATGGTGGATTATTAACCACTAAGTGGTTAATAATCCACCATTATTAGACACTAACATTCATAACGCGCCCGCGGCCAACTTCATGGTGTTACTATTGTGTTACAGTGATGCGCGCGCATCTTAAAATTTCACTCTCATCATTTTTTCATAACGCGCCCGCGGCTAACTTCATTATGTTACTTTTGTGTTACAGTGATGCGCGCGCATCTTAAAATTTCACTCTCATAATTTTTTCATGACGCGGCTAAAGAAGTATAACTTCAAAGACTATTTGGTTGGACTGACTGGTCACTACCAGAGTGCAAGATTCATTTTATGTTTCTACAAACGAGCAAAACAATGGAGTGTTACAGCTAATACCTAGCTGTTAAGGTACCGGGATAGACTCGGTGTCAGCGTCAAACCTTTGAGTACAAGGCCCTCTTGTTTTGGGATGATAAATTACAGATGGTGAATTTTAAATACATGCAATTTCTATGGAATGGCCATATAATGAATACTTAACGCGTGTCACATCGCGGCGGCCTGCAGTTGAACAATAAACTCAACTTATTATTTCGTAAGATTTGCACACTGGCTGTTCTGTGACGTCATCCAATACATTGGTCTGCAAGTAAGGTTTAACAAAGACGTGTACCGCGACTGTATTTATTTTGTATTACTTGCTTAAGATTGGATTTTGCGTTTATTTTACTCCTCAAATGTAATAATTTTAGGTTTTGTGGAAACAACATCCTTATCAGCAATAGGGATGATGACATTTTTTTTTATCTTCGTCTGTCAGGTAGATTATCAAATTTTCTTTATTCACGTAATCAAAACATTACAGGGATATAATGATTTGAAATGTCGCATGACGTCACGTCTTGGTATAACTCCCAAACTTTGACACGCTTTATCTTTGCCAATTTTTGGTTGATTGACAAAAGAAAAAATAGGTGACCATAATTTTTTAAGAATCTAACTGACGGACTTATTAGAATTTCGTTTACTTTACCCCGTCGTCATTCCTTTAAGTATTTTTAATATAAAGGAGTTGGTGCTTATGGCGAACACGTTTTTTTTAATTTAATTACGAATGGATGTAAAGAAGAAGAAGATACAAATATTTTACTGCTCTTTACAGTATTACAAGTAATAGAATGAGCAAATGGAATTTAGAAAAATCTTTTTATTTTTAACATAGCTTTTAAAATAAAATGCATATTTTTGAGTCATACTTTTGCCTTCAGGTTCGTCGTAACGGAAATGCAATGGTATACGACTCGCTGCGAGATTCTTTGTACTGTAAAGACAGCAACATGCACTGGTGTACCGTGCTCAGACAATACAAGTTCCTCAAGGAATTGGGTATGTAGTCATTACCTACTTTAAATATGTATCTGTGTAAATATCAGGCCCATCGTTGCTTTCGGAGGTTTCGTGCAGTTTTGATCTTTGTTGTCGATAAGCGTCCATGAAGTGTTTTTAGGACAGCTCGACGAATGCGCTCTCTCTTCCCAACGATGACACATTTTGGTGCGTCTCAAGCATTATTCATTTGGCAATCGTATGATAAATTCAAACGCGAACTACTGTACTCTCGATCGCTTCGTCAGTTTCACACTTCTCTGCTCGTTGGACGCACTATTTTGATTACGACGATAATTTGACTTATTTGATTTTAATTTGACGCTTGTAAATTGCAGTGTAACAACAAAACGCGGGTGGCGACTCAGCCGAAGCCAATTTGACTAACTTAATTTTAATTTGTCTCTTGTAAATCGCAGTAGAACAACTAAACGCGGGTGGCGACCATAAAGGTATAACATTGGAGTGGGGAAGGCGGCTCTAAAAGTGTCCGTCTAATAGAAAGAGAAAGAAGAAAAGAGACCGCTAGCTATCTCTCTCTCTTGTAGCGCATGCGCAGTCGTCTGTCCAATAGTTGGTCCAAGCATCACAGCGAAATAGTAAGATGTTTACGGTTGTCAATGCGCATGCACGATTAGAGAGAGAAAGCTAGCGGTCTCTCATCTTCTTTCTCTTTCTATTAGAGAGACACTTCCACTTGTAGTAGAGTCTATATCTCCCCTACTATATTCTTATACCTCTATGGTGGCGACTCAGCCGAAACCAATTTAACTAACTTAATTTTAATTTGACGCTTGTACATCGCAATGGAACAACTAAACGAGGGTGGCGACCCTAGAAATATAAGAATAGAGTGGGGAAGGCGGCTCTAAAAGTGTCCGTCTAGTGGAAAGAGAAATGAGATGAGGGACTGATAGCTAGAGCGCAGTCGTCTGTCCAATATTTGGTCCAAGCATCACATCAAAATAGTAAGATGCTTTCGATTGCCAATGCGCATGCGCGATTAGAGAGAGAAAGCTAGCGGTCTCACATCTTCTTTCTCTTTCTATTAGAGGGACACTTCCACTTGTTTTGGAGCCTTTATCTCCCCAACTCTATTCTTATACCTCTATGGTGGCGAATCAGCCGAAACGAATTTGACTAACTTAATTTTAATTTGAAGCTTGTAAATCGCAGTGGAACAACTAAACGCGGGTGGCGACTCAGCCGAAGCCGCCTTATCCGAAGCGCGTCAAATGTTCAAGCGCATCACGGAGCGAGCGTTTCTACACATCGCTGCTGATTTCGATCGCCACAAACTGTCCACCGAACCGTGGAAGAAATTCGCTACAGGCAACGAAATTACACCTTCACAGTGAGTAATTGTTATTTTTTGGATAGTTACTTCGCCAGTGTTGCCTGTTTGAGATATTGGGAGTTCATTTGAAAGTGAAATCATCATCACCATCATTTGTATAAGTGTGTCACAATTTATTGTCTAAATGATGGATAAATATTAATTCATTATTAATCTAAATACTAAAAAAAGTAATAATAACAGTAATAATGAATACTTTTTGGTGAAAGATAATAACATATATAGTTATATTAACAATAATAATTTAATAATCTATTTGAATTAATGACGTCAGTGTAGTTTTACGTAACGCGCTTTCTAGGCAGCACTGAAAACCAGTGCTTTGCTCTCAGAGCAAAGGTATCGCTGAGTTTTTGCCTTTTTCTGTCGTTGCGGCACACAGTTACATATTTAGTAATTAATTCTTCTATTTGTTTACTTGAATTTGTGTGCTGTACTGATGGGAATAAATGATTTATCTATCTATCCTATTAATGTCCCCACTGCTGAGGTACAGGCCTATGGATGGAATAGGGAGATTGTGCCATGACCCACCACGCGGGCCCAGTGTGGATTGGTGGGGGCTAACGATTAAGATGCAGCCGGGAACAACGGTTTAACGTGCCTTCCGAAACACGGAGGAGCTCGAGATAGTAAATTTTTGCGAAATTTCTTTTACTTCAAAGATAGCAACCGAACGCGCTTACCACTTGCGCCATAAAGCTCCTCTGAGGAAGTGAAATGTTCAATCTAAATTTTGACTCATAAGCAGATAATGTATACCTACAATTAATAATAAATAAATATTTTCAAAAATTTCCAACACACACCAATTAGCCTAGCCCCAAAGTAAGCACGTAGTAAGTAATATTAAACTACTGTACCGAATCTCTATCCAATAGAAGTTTCCAGCACCCGCCGAGGCTTAGCGCATTTAAATTAAGATTGTTTTAGCTAAAGGTCACTGAAAGACAAACTCGCTCTACTCTGATCAAGAACTACAAACGGGGCAGCACCTGCAATAGGCACTTCTTTTTTGAGTTTTCCATATTTCGTTCATGGTTCTTAGCGAAAAAAACACGAAAGTTGCGCAGAAAATTAGAAAATACACTGCGGTCGAATTTTACGATTTTTTTTATATAGATATTTATTTATTGGGCAAGACAAAATCTGTCGCATCCGCTAGTTTAATCGAAGTGTCGTATATCTTCAAACTCTGATATTTATGTAGTCGATTGTCACGCAGGCCTATACCTAGACGCGAACCAAGTAAGCGGATGGAGCGGCGGTGACTTCATGAATCATCTCTGAAGTCAATTTTGAACTTGACGACTGTAAATAATAAAACAGGGACAAAAAACAGCCCTTGCTGAGTTTTTTTGCGGTTCTTCTCAGTACAAGGTCTCCCGCCGTAGATTTACGAACCGATGGCGTAGCTTCTAGACATTCATGAGTGCTTGTAACAGCCTAAACTGAATAAATGATTTTAATTATGATTATGATTACGAAGGCCGACTATACTTAGACGCGGACCTAGTAAGCGGATGGGGCGCAGGTTTCGTAGCAGGCGTGAGCGGTCTCGAGTCCTCATTCTTAACGCAGTTGAGCTGCGGCCTGACCCCGCCAAGAGTTAGCGCATTTAAAATAAGATTGTTTTTTGTGAAGGTCGCTGAAAGACAAACTCACCCTACCCTTATTAAGGACTAGGGTTAGATCTGCAAACGGCACTCTTTTTAAAAATCAGTTTTCCACATTTCCTAGAAGGTTCTTGCCGAAAACAAAACACGAAAGTTGTACAGAAAATCAGACAATTCGCTGCAGTCGGATTTTATGACTTTCTAATATAGGTATTTATTTATTGGGCAAGACAACATCTGACGCATCCGCTAGTTTACTCAAAGTATCGTATATCTTCAAACTCTGATATTTATGATAGTCGATTGTCACGCAGGCCGACTCTATACCTAGACGCGGATCTAGTAAGCGGATGGGGCGGCGGTTTTGTAGCAGGCGTGGGCGGTCTCGAGTCCTCATTCTTAGCGCAGTTGAGCCCCGGCCCGCGGGGGTATCAGCCGGCCCCGGCCGCGCCTCTAACGGTCGCGCTCAACTACTTCACGCAGCTGGAGGTATGTGACGTCATCCCATCAGCACGGCGATATACGTAAGTATAGGTCTGGTCACGTAAATGGCCGCCTGACTCTATACCTAGTAAGCGGATGGGACGGCGGTTTCGTAGCTGGCGTGGGCGGTCTCGAGTCCTCATTCTTAACGTAGTGGAGCCCTGGCCCGCGGGGGTATCAGCCGGCTCTAACGGTCGCGCTCAACTACTTCACGCAGCTGTAGGTATGTGACGTCATCCCATCAGCGCGGCGATACACGTAGATATAGGTCAAGTCGAACGATATTCAATACCCTAGATACACCACGTGTGTCCCAATCAAGAAGTGCTTGAACACTACTCAAGCACTTCTAGGTTCACAGTCACGCGCGGTCCGTTGAAAAGTCAACATACCGCAGAGCTCCGTAAAAAAATACGAAAACAATACTTATAGTACGTGAAGTGTCATTTTTCGACAGGTATTAAATCAATGTTTGTTAATTTAACGCATTTGAAGCCATTTTTTTTCTAATACTTACTATAAACTGATTTAATAGAGAATATTTGATATTCAAATGCATGGTCGGTAATATAGCTGTCTCTTTTCCTCGCGGTTCGTAACTGCCATTTTACTAACAGCGCAAACAGAATTTCGCATAGAGTCAATGATATAAGGTCTATATTCTTCCGCATATAGCAATAAGTCGTAAAATTTTACGAGCTTGCATTTCGAACTGTCGTGTCTCTTTGACGCGTGCGTTTTTATTAAGACCTTATACAGTATGCATTAAATGGGATTTTCAATATTTAAATAATGCCTTATATTGTTTTTGATTATGCGATTACCTTACGGAGCTCCGTGGATCGTTCAATGTACCTTTTGGACAGGTTTCGGCCACAATATTGTTCATGTTGGTCTATCTTGGGTATTTAATATCGTTGGTCCCGTCACGTAAAATGGCCGCTGGCTTTATATCTGCGCATGCGTGATTTATCGCCTATCGCGATAAATTCTTCCCTGTAACATACAAAAACCTATTGTTACTCTACAATGATTTTACCTGGCATTACTACATCAACTTTCGCCCGCTACTGTAACCATGCGCAAACACATCCCCTCCGTTATCGCTCAGCGGCCTTTTTACGTGACGGGATCTATACAACGAATTAAAAATTATATTACTCTCTAATAAAGACCACTAAAACATGGCTCCAATCTCATACAGCAAAACTTCAATACTAAAGCGACACGCACACAGACAAAACAAAATACTTTGACAAATCAAATATCTGCAAATGAATTAGGCTGTCCATGCATTGGGTCAAGTAATGTTAAAACGAAATCCCAACTATAGATGTAAAGGCGGTGGTTATCGTTTTCGCCCAGCCGACCACAACAGCTGTTTCCGCTGATCACCCATAAACAGGTAGTTTACGATTGAAAACATTTCATTATGTTTTATGTTGTAAGTGTTTTTTTTTTGTTTATCTACATACTACCTACCTACTTACTTCATACGTGCGTTGTGACAAGTGTCTCACAGACAGACGCGGCTTACGATCACGGCTGGATACGACCAATAAAATAAGTGTCTGCGAGGCACTTAAAAGCGGCTTACTTTTGAGACTTCAGTCATAGCCGTATCTTCCCTCCCCTTTCGATTTAATCTAAGCTCTTTCATATTTTTAACTTGCGTCGATGATATTTTGAAATGTTTAATCTTACTCGGGCTGATCACATAATTGGTACCAAGAACACGAAACACAAAACGGACATCGTAGGTACACATGTGAAACCGTTTTGATACGTCTTATGAATAAGGTAAAGACAATAAAGGCGTTTTTATCATTTCAGTGATGGTTTCATAAATAAATAATATTTTAAATGACACCATTTTTTTGGGTCCAAGTCTGTATGAAATCGTTTCAATCGCCTTTAATATATGATTTTTTCATACACTGTAGGGTCCGATGTGGCGTTTGATCCGCGGCATGGGATTCTCGTACGGCTACAGTATCCGACCGGCGCAGAACGAGGGAAGATTGGTGTTCTCTCTGTACCGCGCCACCAACGCAATGGGCGCTTATGTCAGGACTAAAGCCATAATGGTCAGTACCCTTAGTACGAGTTTGAGCTCCCGAAAACTCATAGTTTTCGTGAGCTCGTATTTGTAAATTATGTTTCTATGTCCATTTTGGTGAAAAGTAACCAAATATCCTTAAAATTTAAGAAGACACAAATGATTTTATGATTGAATCTAAACACTGTTTATTTGTATTGAAACGAAAACAATAAAATCAGTACCCTTAGTACGAGTGCGAGCTCACGAAAACTATCATAGTTTTCGTAATTGTAAAACTCGTACAAAGGGCACTGTACATCCACAAACCTAGATTTAAGTAGCTAACGCATACGTGCATCATTTGTATAAAAACCTTGTGTTTTTGTGTCATATTTAGAGAACATCTTAGGTGGCGGAAATGCAATTCTATAGTTGTTACAGCTTAACTTGGCACAATTAGACAATTTAGAAAAAATGTGATAGAAATACAGTGTCTAAAATGGTGATGCGAATAAATAATAAAATAGCGCTAAAGTAGGATATTTGGTTACCTTTTTGACATGTTTTTGGCACGCGAAGTATATACACTTGCGATATATATTTCGATCTATGTCTGAGTACATCTATAAATGAATACAGAGCGATTGAGGTTGGTATTCTCTCTGTACCGTGCCACTAAAGCCATGGCCTTTTATATCAGGACTAAAGCCATCGTGGTCAGTACATCCAACTATCCCATTAATAATAAAAGTGAAAGTGTTGTTTTGTGTGTTTCTTACTCGATCATGCAAAAACTACTGAATGGATTTGGATGAAATTTGGTATGCATATAGTTTATGACCATAATTGAGACATTGGATACTTTTATATCACACATCACACAGAAAAAATGATAGGATCCTGAGGGATTCCCAAAAAACTAAATTTAATATAGACGAAGTTACGGGCGGCCGCTAGTAGATGAATGCATTTATATCGTGGTCGTGGAGCATCACCAAGTCGACATATAGCTAAATGGAGTTAGAAATGTCATCAAAACCACTCAAAAACACTCTAACAAATGCTTCTACGTATTTTAACTTTACAGTCATGTCTTTACGACTTCTGATATAAAAAATCGAAATTCGAGCGCATTCGACGTAATTTTTGCGTGGCTGCGCAACGTCTGACCAACGTTGATTATCAGCTTCGAAGGAAACTGTGTACATTACGTTGCGGAGATAAGGGTGAATTTGCTATACTACGTTCTTGAAGTACGCTTCGATACGCTAGCATGAATTAACCATCATAGGTAGTTTTAATTTTAAAATATCGGGATTTCACTTATCTATTCATCTTTGCTATTTCTAAACTTGTCATCAACCTTTCCTTTTCATTCCTTCTACGCATGATAAGGACAGACTGTTGTCAAGTTATCAAATATCAAATAGCCAACTGAATTGTCCGATCGAAAGAATACACAATCTCTACATTTGCACTATAAAATGTGTACAGGAGGTATTCCTAAAAACCGGCTGTGAATTCGACGAGGAACTATTCGCGTCTGCGAAGAGCTCCACATTATTCGAAGTTGTTCAAGCAGAGAAGTGTCCCGCAGACGTGGTCAGCCAATCGCTCTACAACTACTTGCGACAACAAAGCACCAACTATAACAGGTGAATCTTACGGTTTTTAAGAACAAACTCACTTTTTACCGGCGGAATCTGCGTGTGTTTGAAAATTACAATAAATAAATAAATATATTTCTAAAATACACCAATTAGCCTAGCCCCAAAGTAAGCACTGTCAGGCTTGTGTTATGGGATACTATGGTAACGGATATAACTAAAATTATAGCAATAAGTATTTAGGATGGATGTGCGTCAAATAATCTATACATATAATAAAATGGTGGGAAAGTCAAAACTGTACATTGAATATTTTTTTACAAGAATACTTGGGGTGTGATCTACAATCGATACCGAAGCCAAAAATATGGTTTTTAGAATTTTTCTCTGTTTGTCTTAAGTATGTCCGGGATAAACTCAAAAAGTACTGCATGGATTAACTTCAAATTTAATTAAATTTCAATTAATAAACACGAATATAATTAAGAAGGGTCAACATACAGGCTACATATTGTCACCTTTATTTCTAACTAACTCCACGCGTACGAAGTCGCGGGCGGCCGCTAGTTCTAAAATAAGTTTACTAACCAAACGATATTTAAATGATTTTTTTTTGGCAGTGAATTGGTGAGCGAGATCGCCCGCGTCACCACGGAATCCGCGCAGCAAGCGGCGCGTCGATGGCTGCCGACACTTTTCAACGCGGAAGAAAGCAAGCTGGCCGTAGTGTGCCATCCTACCAAAGTGACGGACGTACAGACCGCCTTCCACAAGTACGTACACAATATACAGTACCCTTAGCACGAACCATTCTAGAATTTGAATAGTTGAATTCGATCCGATTTGCCTTTCAAATGTATATTGATTTTTAGTTCTCGTTACGTCCGTTGTGGCGCTGCTGTTCAAGTTTCCATACAAAATTTGAAAATGACATTTCGCACTCGCAAACTATTCGAATTCGATATTGGTTCGTGCTAAGCTACTGACAGCGAGATAGTGCCGATACTCTTCAACACGAAGGAAAGTAAGCTGGCCGTAGTGTGCCATCCAAGTGACAGACGTAGAGACCGCCTTCCACAAGCACGTACAAAATATACTCGCACATAAGTCAGTGCCAACTGGCTGTGTTCCACAGGGTAGGCAACGGCGCGTGTGATGGGTTTGCTATTACATGCGTCTATAGGCTATGGTGACCGCATAGCATCAGGCAGGCTTTAAGCTTGTTTTTCACCATTTTAACATAAAAATGTGTGCCTACTTAGTGACGGACATACAGTATGCTTTCCACAAGTACGTACACATTATAAACACAAATAGACATTACAGAAGGTAATCTACATACATAGTGCGCTCGAGCAACGCACGCATAGACACCGTTCACGGCCACGATATGTCAAACTAGTTCGGAGCAATGCGAGCGCGAGTTTCATCCGCTCGAGACACGAGTCTATTATTTTTTTTGTGCAAAAATGAAGCAACAAATTTGTAGTACTTTGTTCACCGAAAGGAGAAAGTGACAGATTACCAACGAGAGTGCAGTTTGAGATGACATGACATGGATTTCCATACCCTTTGCAACCCGCTTAGTAGTACAACAGTAATGAGGTCATTTCTGCTTCATTTTAAAAAAAAGAATAAAAAGCACTTTCCAAGCTGATGTAATATAAAACAATTTATTACGTATATCTGTTCAGTAGACGGTTGTTAAAATTCAACATAAAACGATGAATTATCGTTTTGTTTATTTGCATTAAAGCAACAAAAAATATATATATATATATATATTTTAGTTATTATTGGTTGATATTTCCGTTTCATTTTGGACAATTAATCAAACAACTAGATGCGAATGCTGCTGCTGATAGTTTTTTGTGCATGAGCCAATAGCGCAACCGCCGAGCGTAGGTATGCAGTGAAGTACATACATGAGATTACCTTTTGTAATGTCTATTTTGTGCTAAAACATATACAGACTGTCCCCCTTGCTAATTTAATTTTTAACGTATACCTACGTTTACGTTTTTTACTTCCAGCTTTCTTGCAGAACTCTCTTATCCATGTTGAATTCTTTTCAGAATTGGTGTAAAATTGGAGACCTTTGAATCACTGGAAACGTCTCACTTTAATAAATAAGCTAAGATGATCGGTATTTTAAGAATATATTCATAGTTATACGAGTAAGTCCATTTTAAACTGTATTTTTAATATGATTAAAGCAAAAATAATTATGTTACCCCCTTATTAATGAACGAAGAATAAGCTTAAGCTTGGATTTGTTACTATATGTTTTGTCTCTGTTCATTGAATGACAATGGCATTTGAGTGATAGGAACAAAACACGTTGTAACTAGTCAAAGCTTATTCCGCGTTTATTAATAAGGGGGCCAGTGTTTATGTATTGATAACTTTCTCGCTTGGCTGTGCCTTACTTTATATTTAATATCATAAATATTATGCAGCTGTAGTAAATGCACATTGTAATTGAAACTTGTGTAATAAATGAATGTTGATAAAAATTGCTTTCAATTTTACCCAAGAATAAAATAAAACAAAAGTTTTTGATGATAATTAGTTTAATTACCATTCATCTTAAAGCTATCTCTATACAAAAAATATATAACTTAAACTTAAGTCAGATATAGTGAACATCATTATAAATCATCTCACAACCGCTGCAACACCTTCATAAATTCTCAAACCCATTCATAGAATAATATAATATCATCATTTTACAACATCGTTCCGTCACAACATAAAACACTGGTTTTTAACAAATTAGAGAATGTAGTGTGTAACCTTATTTTTTACGCGAAAATTTTTATAACACTAGTCTAGGCTAACCTTACTTCGAGTAGACAATAGATACCTAGACGATTGAGCTTTCCACTACATCCTGCGTTCACAAATACGTAATTGGAAAATATTAACATTTTGCAGAAATTCATCTTGACTTGACATACAATGCATATAATAATTTTTAATCATTTGTCGAATACTTTTTATTTCCAGTTACAAGCTCTATAATTACAGTAGCTATTTATATTCAACAAAATTTGAATTATTCAAAATCTTACAATCTTTATGTTATAATATAAAGCTTTTACAAATTTTAAAGTATTCGACATATGAATTAGAAACAGCTTTGAATTCACTTTCTTTTAACATTTGTCATTAATACTAACCAGTATTAGTAGTAGTAATATTTTTTGTTAGTGAACCATTCTGAAATAATTCTTGAGGTATAAAAATAAACTGGCCCAAAGGTGCTACAAGTACGAACCAACTGCATAGGCCATCTCTAAACTTCCTAACCCACCACCTGTTACTGGTGAGGCTCAATATAGCTATGTATAATTTATGCATACGAGAACTGTATTTTACATGTATAAAGATATATTTACAAGATGCTATAAACGAACGAACTTATTAATAATAATCATAGAGAAAATAAACGATATTCACAAATAACAATGATCAAGATTATTATGCATATTTGATATGCATTTGCATAGTTATTTAATGTATATAAAAGCACCAACATTTTTTAAGCATTTTACATGCGACCATGTTAGGTAGCAATCGAATATTATGTCGTTTTATAAATTTGGAGAACATTTTTGAACGGTGCGAACATTTCTTAACTGTAACTGTCTGCATTAGTGCTTTAAATAGTTTTGGTAATTGTTTAGTTACGCGTATAGTCTAACATTACAACTATAATAATTCACTAAAGATACCTACCGACGAATAGAATTTTCTAATAAATGAACGTCTAATTACATTAAGACTACGTAATATTAGAGGCGGCCCCATTTACATTACCTAACGCCCTGGAGTCCTACGTTACCCGGACGCGGACACGCGCCGCGTATGATAAAGAAATTTCTACATACATCAAGTACGTGCTTCTATATACGCTTCGGTATTGTCCTTTTCGTGATATCAGTCACATTTGAGGCTTAAAATTCTTCTAGGGAGTCTTATTCAGATATACTTCCATTGTTTGTCTTAACCGATGTATATATATATTGTTAGCTTAATATGGCTGTCACCACACAAAATGTTTTTAGAATATGGAATTTTACAATATCATTTATGTAGTCGGTGACATGCAATCTCCTTCAAAACGATTGTTGAAGAACGTGTCAAAAGGGCATGCAGTGTCATCTGCGTCGGCACAACAACAAGACTTTCGTACAAAGTGCGATAAACGCTCTCAAACACGCAAAAGACGCATGATAGAAAAACAAAAAATTAATGCGAACAAGATGCTTCGAGTTCAATTTGTCGCACGCGACTCTACTACACATGATTTCCAAGATCTGCAAAGTTTTCACATGATTACGAAACTATCAGATCTTACTAAAAATATTTTCCTTTTTTAATCTGGTTTTTTTTTTCATATAAAATAATATAAATTTTAATTTCATTCAGACTTAAAGTCAACAGGTAATTTTGCGCAGGCGCATAATTATTATTATGGAATTATGTCATATAACCTACATAATTTTAGTAAGTTAGCATGCTATAACCAAGTTTCTTGTATTACTGTGATCTTTGTCGTAACAACTGACGCTTTAATACTTACTTTCTCTCTATATAATCGGAAACTAGTTCCCCTTATCCTAACAGATTTTTTTATGATCATCAGCTACCTTTATAAGTAAGCATACTTCAAACAACATTTAATTGTTTGATTGCAGGTATCAATAACTTGCAATGAATCGCGTATTTTCATTAAAATACAGAAGTTACTAAATAATTTGTATAAACGGCTTCTTCTTGACTTGCGACTGCATCGTATGGATTGTACAGGGGGACAACCTATCTCCACTGATATCGTAACATTCCAGTATTTCATGCCGCTTAGAAAGCTGTGGCTTTGAAGAACCAAAATCCTTCAGCTTTCGAGTACATTTAAAGCATATGGCTTTCATAAGCGATGTTAAATACAGTGATGAAGTCAAACTACAGTAACGGCTCAAGCAGTAAAGTAATGAGGTAGGAATTGAAAGGAGAGGTGAGGAGTAAAAAGGGGGGAAAGGAATGCCTAGTTATCCATAATAGGCAACGTAAAAGATTAAATCCTAAAACAGAACACCAACCAAAGGAACGGCTCTATTTAACGAGGTGTTTTAGTTATAAAATCGACTGACATTCTCCCAATTATTATGTCATACTGCATGATCATGGTCATCCAAGGACACCTTCGGAACTGGAAGTGAGAGTGGTAGTTGGGGATGAATGGGAGGGCCCTTCAAGCTCCAACTACCACTCTCACTACAAACGTAAGCCCCTGCTTAGATTAGTGCAGACGCGGATGGTATCCCGTAGCAAGATCGACGAGAATCTGCCCTGTGATACTGGCATATAAAATGGGAGGGAAAGGGAGGGTCTTACATTAGAGCAGACGCCGAGTTGCAGATATAGCGGCATCAACTCGGGCAGATATAGCAAGAGTGACGCGAATCTGGTTTCTAAGTGAAGTGGAACTAAGAGGTAATCTCGCATATAAAGTAGAAGGGAAAAGGAGGAGCTTATATCAAAGCAGATCAGCAATAACGCGAATCTACCTTTCTCTGGATCTCCCATATAAAGTAGGAGGGATAGAGAGGGACTTACATTAGAGCAGACGCGTCGATAGGCAGCGCGTGGTATCCCGTAGTAAGATCGACTCCAATCTGCCTTTCTTTGACCTTCGCATATAAGGAAGAAGGGAAAGAGAGATCGATGCGAATCTGCCTTCTGATACTGGCATATGAAATGAGAGGAAAAGGGAGGGGCTTACATTAGACCAGACGCGTCGATAGGTGGCGCATGCTGTCTCAACTCGGGCAGATATAGCAAGAGTGACGCGAATCTGGTTGCTAAGTGAAGTGGAACTAAGAGGTAGATGCAAGGAAAGGAAGCAGACACGTCTATAGGTGGCGCGCGGTGTCCCGTAGTAAGATACACTCCATTGACCTTCGCATATAAAGTAGAAGGGAAAGAGAGATCGATGCGAATCTTCCTTCTGATACTGGCATATGAAATGAGAGGGAAAGGGAGCGGCTTACATTAGAGCAGACGCGTCGGTAAGCAGCGCGTGGTGTCCCGTAGTAAGATCGACTCCAATTTGCCTTTATTTCACCTTCGCATATAAAGACGAAGGGAAAAAGAGATCGATGCGAATCTGCCTTTTGATACTGGCATATGAAATGAGATGGAAAGGGAGGGGCTTACATTAGAGCAGACGCGTCGATAGGCGGCGCGTGGTGTCGCAGCAGGTCACGGATGTAGCCGGCGATGCTGGAGTCCGCCACCAGGTGGAAGAAGAACAGGTGCTCGAAGCTCTTGAGAGAGATTGAACGCAGCGCGGGGAGACGTAGTAGGAGTGACGCGAATCTGCCTTCTTCCGAAACGCGTACGCGGCGACAGTACTCGTCCAAGCACGAGTACATCTAAAAGACAAAGATAGTAGCAGAGTTAGAATCATTTCATCATCATCAGCCTATTAATGTCCCCACTGCTGGGGCACAGGCCTTCCCTATGGATGGAATAGGGAGATTGGGCCATGACCCACCACGCGGGCCCAGTGTGGATTGGTGAGTGCTAACGACTGCTGATGCAGCCGGGACCAACGGCTTAACGTGCCTTCCGAAGCACGGAGGAGCTCGAGATAGTAAATTTTTGGTCACCTATTCAATGACCGGCCACTGCGAAAGTTGCCTAACTTCAACGATCGCAGCCAAACGCGCTAACCACTTGCGCCATCGAGCTCCTCAAGCGAATCTGTCTGCTTTCGAAACGCGTACGCGACGACAGTACTCGTCCAAGCACGAGTACATCCGATAGAAAAAAAAGGACCAGAGTTAGAATCGTTTAGTGGCCAACAAATCAAATGAAAACTCACTAAACACTCTACATCACTTTACAAGTCTCTAAACAATTGCACTTGAACACTTTTGTTGCAATTTGATCGCCTTTGGATTCTTTTCGAAATCGCTGTTGAAACTCAACTGTCTCTGCGCGCGCCAATCGCGCTTATATACGCCGATCGACGATCCCTAGAAAGTATCTGTTAAATTGAGAGTTAGCTAGCACTCACGAGTACGTAATACCTACTTATACCTACGCAGGTAACGCGCATAACTTGTAAACAAGTGCAGATGTCGTTGCACTTTCTCCCTTACGCCGAACTGCATAAGGCTAATTTTAGAATGAGCCGCATTACTCTACCTCTATCGCGACCCGCGGCGCTCTGGCACATTCGATCTCTAGCACTTTCGCAGTTCCGTTTCGAGAGCGTTTGTGACATTATATTGAAAGAATTTAATTAATTTTAATAGTACCTTTTCCCGCAGGACTTCAACTTCTTGGCGATTGCCGAGACCCTTTATATCTGCAAAAAAAATTACGATATGTTATTTAAATATATAGGCAGGTTAGGTTTGTATAAAAATGGCATAGTAGTACTAAGCCATTCTGTAACTGTTAACTGTACTACGTACAGTTGACAGCATGTTATGTACCTAGTCTACATAGAAGAAGTACAGCTGTACAATAAAAAAAGCTATTCAAAGGGGGAACCTGCCAGTATCTTTGAAACCTTGCCTAAAGTGACTCCTTTTGATAAGTATTTTAGTTACTATTATATAACCTTAATATATATATAATAAGGTTTTTAGGTATACATATCTTACTATATGTTTTTTAGTTAAATGTTCATACATATTGTGTATATAAAAGAAGTTATTTCGATTTATTGCAACGTTTAAATTAAAAAAAAAACTGATATCTTATATAAGTTCTCGGGCAGCAGACAGCTACGGCCGTCGGAATTACGGGGCCTAAGATATTTAAAATAAACTGTTGCACTTCCAAAGACAGGCAGTCTAATGAGAGCTGAAAAACAGTCCTTTTAAAGCTTTATACCTGTGCCTGTAGCAAGAGCACCACAATATACAATAATTTAGAACTGTCAAACTATAGCAATTTGACAATTGAGCGTGATAAAAACGAGCTATATATTGCTCACAATATATCGTGACGTGTTTGACCTGATCCATACACAAGTACTGCATCTTGAGAAATAGGCTAGTTGACTCATGTCAAATTGTACTACACAAATGTTTATTTCTTACAATATTTTGGTATGAAGAACCTTAATACATCGATTTCACTTCTTTAAATTCACCATTTTTGTAACGTCACAAAATTTGTAAACATGTAAACGTCATTGTCGTAATGGCGTACGCAGATGGCGCATATTTCACGACAGTTCTGACTATATCTGCCGCTCCAAACTTAGTTTTAAGTTTTATATTATAAAACTATTTTTGGATTTTAACTTTTCAAAATTCTATCTTTACGGTACTTTCTCGGTATCTATTTACTCGACGGTTCACGGCGCTTCTGTATCTGTTTATTTGTTATACCTCTCATACTAATTTAATCATTTCCATATACAATATTTGCTTATAATTTCCTATTGTTCAAATTATTGATTTTCATTTTGACGCTTCACGTCACTTCCGGCTCATAACTTTTTCACAGTTTCAATCAATTTAATTTTTCATCACTTTTTAATAAAATAAATTACTATGTTAGTTACCATAATTAACCTCATTCCTTTACGTAGTTTAAGAGTTCTTTTCTTTTCGTTCTTCTAAACTCTTCTATATATTTTCCTCTAAAGCGCCTCTCTCTTCCGCTACACTCTTCTACCCCTCGTATGGGAGTGTATTGTTACAACGTGGCCGATGACTTAATAGAATATTGCTAATAAATCAATATTATATGAAGCGGAAGTGACGCCCGACATTGTAATAGAAGCTATATAAACACACCCGGGTTGAGCAGGATGATGTCCTTGAGCGCGACCTATTCGGCCTGGTCTATAAGTAGATGGCGCAACCTAAGCGTCAATTTGAAAATACGCGATCGAAACTATGATGCGAAAGATTCTTCTAAAGACGCACTATAATAAGAGCTGGAAAACAGTTAAAGTTTTTTTATCTGTACCTGGGTTGAGCAGGATAATAGCCTTGAGCGCGACGTATTCGGCCTGGTCCATACGTAGATGGCGCATCTTGAGCGACAGTTCTGATAACACGCGGTCGAATATTTGTCCTACACCCGCTTGAAGGGCGGAGTTGCGGTGTAGTGTCATGCCTGCAATATAAACGTCAATAGTGACAATTTACTAAGGTCACGTTGTTGGATACATAGTTAAATGTGACTATAGTTGAAATCGTTAGCGCGATTGGCTGCGATCGTTGAAGTAAAGCGACTTTCGCAGTAGTCGATCATTGCATGGGTGACAAAAAATCCTCTATCTCGAGTTCCTCCGTGCTTCGGAAGGCACGTTAAGCCGTTGGACCCGGCTGCATCTGCAGTCGTTAGCACCCGCCAATCCGCACCGGGCCCGCGTGGTGGGTCATGGCCAATCTACATCTCTTCCATCCATAGGTAAGGCCTGTACAACAGCAATGGGGACAGTAATAAGCTGATGATGATACTTAAAATACTATTAAATATAGAAAAGGTAACAATTTGTTGAAATTTGACACATTTAACTATGTCAATAGTAAATAAATACGTGACATAGTCTTTAACTATGCATCAATGAACGCGGTCTTAGAAACGAAATAAAGCTGGAAGTCTACTTTGTGAATCTCGTAATTTGGGTCGTTTGTAAATTAGGTTTTAACCTTTTAAAAGTTTTCACTTTGAAATTCTTATAAAGAAGACAACACGGAAATTATTGAAACAGTTGAGATATTCAATGCCATCATTCAGTGAATCAAAACAAATATCTATGAACAAAACTGTATATATACCGATTACTTCAGTAAAACTATGGTAGGTTATGAATGTTTCTAGCATGCTCGATCATTATAAATTTCCTAAAAGCAATGGTGATTCAAACCAAGTCTGACTTAAATAACATTAATGTCAAATTTTATTGACGAAGATTGAGGCTTACATTCATGAACACCAAAATAAATATCAATTAGTAACGACGCAAGTCCGTAGGAATTGCGGTGACATCATTCCTTTGGGGCCAGTATTATAATTTGGTACAAATTACAGAGGAAGAAATGAAGAGTTATTATTACTTGAGTGGTAAATTGCTAGTCGGGTATCCTTTATATTAGAAAATAATGCACAGCTGTAAAAATGACGTACAATAACTACCGACTTGATATAAAAATAGATACATATGTTAAAACTTAGTCAGCCTTATTACAAAATGTGGACTGAAGTTAGCCTTGGTTTTATTTTCAACAAACAAATGTGACAACATGAATTTACAAAACTAAACACAACTGTATACATAATTCAATGTCAATAAAGTATTCACTTGTATCGATACCCGAACTAATAAACATCGCAAATCTGATCTCTCACATGTTAATTGTATAACAAAAATATGTATCGCTTTGACTTAAGAGAGGTAGGATATAGCGGGTTTTCCGCTCAAATTGGAGCGCCCGTCTGGGGAACAAATCCTCCAGTAGATCCCAAAATGCAAAAAAATCTAAATTCAATATCGTTTATTCAGTCTAGGCTGTTACAAGCACTTGTGAATGTCGAGAAGCTACGCCATCGCTTCGCAAATCTACAGCGGGGGATCTTGTACTGAGAAGACCCGGCAAGTAACTCAGCAAGGGCTGTTTTTTTCTCCCTGTATTATATACAGAGTAAATAACACTACCTTTTGGTGGTGTCGTGTTTCTGTCGGTGAGTAAGGTTCCGAGGCTCCACGGGGTAGGGGATTGCGTCAGGGTATAAATAAATAAAAATAAATAATTCCAACAGTAACACCAATTAGCCTAGCCCCAAAGTAAGCACTGTAAGGTGCGTTATGGGATGTTAGGGTTAATACATATACTGTACATATAATAAGTATATTTATATAGAAATACTTATTAAACATCCATGACTGGAGTACAAATACTCGTATTCATCACACAAACATCTGCCCCACCGGCATTCGAACCCTCTCAAGTCGACGACACCATGAAACCCGGCGTACAAACCACTAGGCCACGGAGGTCGTCAATCAAAGGAGGATATGCAACAGCGCGAGTGATATTTTTTGTATCGCAAGCGTCTTAGGCTATTGTGGCCTTTACCATCAGGCGTGCCATATGTTTGTTTGCCACCCTTTTAACATACTCGTACATATATAAAAAATAATTAATTTTTGGTACAGACCTGGCATTAGACACATGAGCTGGGGCGGCGATGTAGTTCGCGAACCATCCATATTTTCGCGTTCGTCATTCAGAAACTGAAAAATAAAAAGTACAAAATAATTATTTCAACTTTCAAACATTATAATTTTATTTTAAGTATAAAGAGTAAGCCCGCACCCGCACCCTTCGCTATCCGGGCGAATGCACTGACCAATTATGCTACCGCGACCCTGATGGCCGCGTCGAATTCCTTCTAGCCATTCTTAAGCTGAAAGGCAGCGCCATCTTTTCACATTGTAGGTAACCCACAATGTCAAATGAATACTTTTACAAGTATTAAATATTTCATAGAAGAAATAGCAATTATAGTTATAATTTTTATTTTTTAAGCATGTAACTGCTTGATGTTTAAATCTAAAGTTATCCGTCTGCTGCCTGGTCCGCGCTGGTTTTTTTTATAGTTATATTTTCTTTAGATTTAAACATCAAGCAGTTAAATGCTTAAAAAATAAACATTATAACTATAGAGAGTAAGCATCAAAACAATGCCGAAAATCTCCAAATTAATGATATGAAATAAATGTTTTAGTTATTATTTTTATTTTTTAAGCATTTAACTGCTACCTGTTTAATTCTAAAGAATAAATAGAAGATATTTTTTTTCTTGGTTGATATAAGATCTATAAAAACCAATTGAGATAACTTTACACTTGATATTTTGCTGATTATACATCTTGTATGTACATATTTCTTCAAGAGTCAGCATACACTTCTACAACACCGCTTATGGGGTCGTCTTTTTGGAGACAATGGAGACGGAAAAACAGTCAACAGTAACAATTTATTCATTTTTTACTTCATTCCTGTCTATCCTTTCTGCAAGACTGAGCATTTAAAAGGGTATTCCCTAGCATAGCGGATTTTCAGCTCGAATTGGAGCGTCTGTCTGTAGAAGTAACCTCCAACTCAGAGAACATCACAGTGATTTTTTTATGGTGTTGTATTTCTGTCGATGATTAAGGCACTTCGCGCACAAGACGGCCACGACTACGGCTAGTGACCGCAACGACCAGATAAACTAAAGACTAAAGAAAACATACGAACGTCACACACTTTGCCGCAACGGCCAACTTTAGTTAAGCTGGTCGTTGCTGCCACCGGTCGTGGTTTGGCCGTCTAGTGCGCGAGGTGCCTAAGGTTCAAGGAACATAAGAATCATAAGCTTGTTTTTCATCTTTTAACAAAAAGAAAATGCTTGTAATAGTTGCGCGTGTATTGTTCAAATCTTTCAAATGATTTCAATGTGCTCTAAAGAGTCAAAACTCTTAATAGCTGTTACGTTTTCTGTGACAAGAACACGACAAGACAATACTTGAATTTGACAGTCTTTTAATTTTATTTACGTCACAGAGCAGTATTGAGTCAATTTATACAAATTAAAAAGCAAGATCGATCAAGATCCTAACGGAAACCCTAAACAGCGTGGATGATGCTTGATGTTGATTACGTGACCAAAAGCACGCGGTAGGGGAAGTCAGTGCGATTTAATGTGTGGCGAAATGATATGACCGCGACCTTCGAGTTGTTTCTTTTTTGAGATTTATTATAGCTTGGTAACTATAATCTTTTTCATTTTATTTAAAGATATTTTGTTGCCTTATTATTTTATATTTAACTTACGATATAGTTTAAATACTTACAAACAACTTACAGAGATTGGGAATTTCAAGTTCAATGATTTGATAGTTAGGCATCAATACTAGTCGATCGCTTTGAGTTGTGCATCGAAGAGCGTTACTAAAACTATAACAGGCCAATCACACGCACATCACCTGGTACCGCCGACCAATAGGGTTGACTAATAGGGTTCGTCTAGGAACGCGGTGCGGAGAGGTGGGGAGGGTGGGACAACTCCAAGCGAATGCGTAGTATTTATTTATGATGCTCAACTATCAAATGATTGTCCTTGAAAGTCTCAGTCTTTGTTAGTGATAAATAAAAATGGTAGGTATTTTTCCAATCTGCAAGTATTCAAATAAATTCCAAGTTGAATATAGAAAATAATAAGACAACAATAAACTTTGGTTTAAATGAAGACACACCGTAAAGGTTTTAGCTATAATTAATCGACAAATAAATTACAATAAGTATAAAGACGTACCTCCATAGAGCGCCACGCGATGGCGAACAGAAGCAGTTCGTTCCACGCGCCCTTGATGAGCAGTACCTGATCATCCATCTCGAGCTGACTGAAGTGCGGAATGTCACGCGCCCACACCACCAACGCCGCTATTTGTTTGTTACCTGCAACATTATGTGCATACAATGAATAATAACTACTTTTAAACTATTATAACTAAAGGCTGCATTACTAGCATACTGAAATGGTAGAGAGGTAGGCATAGCAGATTATCTGCTTAAATTAGAGCACCCGTCCGGGTAAGTAACTTCCACCTTACAGAAGACAAAGTGAAATAACAGAACCTTTAGGTGCTGTTGTATTTCTGCTGGTGGGGAAAGTAACTTCCACCTTACAGAAGACAAAGTGAAATAACAGAACCTTTAGGTTCTGTTGTATTTCTGCTGGTGAGTAAAGTTCCAGGGCTCCATATGGTTGAAGTAGGCAGCGCGCGAGTTATGCAGATGAGATATGACAGAACTGTTCATGACAGAGTGTTATTTAGAGCTGCTGTCTTCTGTAAGATGATTAACGCTCCAATCAAGGATTTTCCTATTAAAGGAAAATCTACTGGATATAATTGTAATCGAAGCGTAGGTACGTAAAATTCAATATTGTCCAACAAGATGTCTGACTTTCCGTGCGGTTCACTAACATGGACAGTTTAACTAAGAATGTAATGTTTTATGAGAGGACACAGCTATCTTTATGCGCTAAGGAATGACTAACTCATACGAAGGGCGTAAAAAGTTTGTCGCCTGATGAGCTTTAGGGAGATAAAAGAACATTCCATTATTATAAAATACTGTGGCCCGCCCTCGCTTCGCTTCGGTGTAGAGCTGTAGTGTAGACTAAAATGTCACTTCATATAATTATAAAAAAAAAATTTAAATGGTATATTATGTAAATTTGCTTTTTCCAAACATCTATTGACATCACGTCACTTAATTGTATTGCCTTCCCGGAATCTCTCCACTAACATTTGAAATTACCATAATACCATAGTATGGTATTCAAGTTCAAATTGACTTTTAAGTATTATTACGAATCGTTTGTATGGGAGTATAGAAAAGTGTTGTTTTTAGACTTATTCAGGCAATTATTTTAAATTTTCTCTGCGTAAGAGCCATCCTCGCACTTCAAGGAATATTCTAAAAAAAGAATTATCGAAATCGGTTCAGCTGTTCTCGAGATTTGCACTTAGCAACACATTCAGCGATTCATTTTTATATTATAGATTACACTACCCGTGTAATAATTAGCTCATTAGAAATTATTTTTTTAGTTGGGCAAAGGCAATTTAATCTAATTACTATATTTTTTATTTGTTGAGGGATACTTGCTGAGTATGTTAGCAAATAGAATGGACTCCCCTCTGCTCGGTCAGTTCATCAAACTACACAGTGGGTGCAGTAAAATTAGTAAATTTTTAATTATTTTAATTTTGAAATTGTTTATTTATTTTAATTATTGCCATATAATGTTAATGATTTAATTATGTTTATATATGTTTTAATAATGATTGAAATTGTAATGAAATACTAACATAGGTTAAGAAAACTAACATAATATATGAGACAATGTCTTGAAATAAAAGATTTTTATTTTATTATTATTTATTTTTTATTTTATAATTATAAATTAACAGCGAGAACTTTTATCGCTTTCGTATAATACAAATCACTCTCGTATGTACAATACCCGGGTTGTTTTGCCCGTGCCTACAAAACTTTTCCTTATAAAACCTACCTACGCAAATAATGTCACAGCACGACGCAGTTGTTTTGAGTAATACAGAAAAAATAGGTTTTCCTCTGTGTATTGCGATTATGCATAGCTAGGATTAGTCACAAACACAAATGAAAAAAAATAGCCAGACATTATCATAGATATACCTAATACTAAAATGTATAAATTAGATACCTATTTAGTATGGTTTAATCTACTTAAAAACAAAAATCGAAAAATAACTTTTCCATGGAATATATTAATTAATATCAATACGCATAATTATGCGGCATAATGCCAATAATAGAGAATATAACCTTGTTTTTTATTTTGTTCATGTGATAAACTCAACCTGTTATTATTGTAGCTTACAATAGTTGGACTAGTTTTCATTACAAATTAGTCTTATCGTTTAAGTACTTAATGGTGTCGATTCTGGCATGATTCTGTAAACCTAAACTTAAATTTGTCAAAAGCGTATCCGCACGTGCAGGATGTGCTATCATCCTTGTCATTCTCTATACAGAGTGGAAAGGAGAGACTAATGTTAAATTTAGTTTCCAATTTAGAGTATCATGCCAGAATCGACACATATCTCTATATATTTTTATTCTCCGACCTACAATATCACATCCTTTCCTCTTCACAAAAATGGCAATTTCATAGAATATTCCATTTTGGTAGGACTGTAGACAAAACGAAGAATGCAACGTACATTGCATAGGAATATTTAATTAACTCATTAATTAAAACTTGCTCGATAAGTCACGCTACATGAACCGGGATCTCAGTCAAAACAAGCTGCAGTCGGAGTAAACAAGGACTGCGGTGCGATAAACATTCATTAGGTACTAGTTTTCATAATATAACACAATGTTTTTTTTTTCATATATAGGTCCGACAAATTACTCCTCCCCACCTGATGTTAAGTGACGGTGAAGTCCAGACGTGAAGATAGCTGGTACAGCAGTTCTACCTGCCACACCAGCCATCCTCACTTTGCCGGCCTGCATGTTGCTTTTTGAGGCCTCTTTTAAAGGATCCCAGGTTGTAAAAAGGAGGAAACACGTGAGCAGGCAGAGCATTCCATTAGTATAGCATATAGTGCGACAAAGAAATGAGTCACCAAATTTCTTTGTGCGCGTTGGAATTGTGGCCACAGTTAGACAGTGAAAATGTAAGGCCAGCGCGCGTGGAGAAGTGAAGAGCGAATAACTCGTCAATATCTATGGTCATAATAACTAACTAAATAAGTCCCCAATAATAGTAATTCGCGGTACACGTGTTATTTCACATCTGGTTACGTCTAGCCTCTTTGTTGACAAATAAAATAAATAAATATTTTTAACATACACCAAATTAACCTAGCCCCAAAGTAAGTGCTGTAAGGCTTGTGTTATGGGATACTAGGGTAAATGATAGAATACATAAACTGATTCATTTAAAAGTATATTTTATGCAAATACATATTATAAACATCCAGGACTTAGGTACAAGTGCTCGTATTCATCACAAACATTTGCCCCACCGGGATTCGAACCGGGACCTCTGAGTAGGCCTCACCTTGAAAAGTGGCGTACATACAAATAATCCTTTTACGTTACGTTGTATGTATTAGATGAGCCTTGTTCTTTGATACGGAAATAAACATCGATCGCAATTTCCTAAGTTATGATTTCATAATATTAGTACTTTCTAATATTGGTATTTTTAAAGTACTTGTGTTGGCAACAAGGGCGGATCCAGAGGGGGGGTCATGGGGGTCATGACCCCTCCCTGGGCTGGGTCCATCTGTACCCACTTCACAATCTGTACCCACTGCGACTTGACCACGACTATATTACCCCCCCCCTGGCACCAAAGCTGGATCCGCCCTTGGTTGGCAACCCCATGCACTATGGTTTATGTCGGGGACTATTACCCGTGGATCTTTAAGGGGCAATCTAGGGTGTAAGAGTAGGGATGACCCACAATTGCCTCCTTAATTGTGATAAGTGTAGGCAAACAGGGGTAACTTTCCAGATTGGCGAGACCATCTTGGTCCTTACATTGTCCCTGTCGCCCTGCACGCTGTCGTGTGTGTAGCGCGATCGGGACAATTTCTCAACCGATCGTTTGAGTTTTCGATAATACTGGGGTCAGTCTACACGTATGTTTTAGTTTAATATACCCGACCACTGAGTAGGCGGCATGTGTGTAGAGACAAATCCAACATTGCCCCAACGTATATGAGTAGCCGGCTTTAAAGACAAACACTTCGAAAGTCAGGCACGGGCAGTTCTGTTCGAGACATTATAGAAACCAGTAATAATGGGAAACTCTCCCCATTAGTATAAATAATTTACTTGTGCATAGTAATTGCGTAGTAAAGTCATAAAATGTCGAAGTGCTACTCTGGTCTACTTGAATTCTTCATCACTATGATATAGAGAAGAAGCAAGGCACCCTGATAAGCTTAACGAACCTAAAGTGTTCAGCCAGATTAAAACGCTAAAGACGGAATTTTCGGTGGAGCAACGACGTACGCCAACCAGTAAACCAGTTTCGTATTATGCTATCGTAATTATGTATGTACATAATACATATCTGCGTTCTTAATGTTTGTTTTTTATGCTGCACAGTATTTATATTAAGTGTGTGATGTGTGCTAAATAAAAACATAGGGACCGTGTGGAGGTCGCGCAGATAATTGAACACATCTTCACAATGAAAATAGACTGGCAAATAGATTCTATTAGCGCGGATACTAAATTCGTTGCCAGTCAATTTTATTAAACTTCGCGTGAAATCATGATATGTGCATATCCGGTGCGTTTATATATTTTTGTAAACTTGTAGTGCGTAGAATGATTGATAACTCGTTTTAAGCTCAAGTCAGGAGACAACTAAAGAAAGAAGATCTCTTCTTTGCTCTTTTTAGGGTTCCGTACCTCAAAAGGAAAAAACGGAACCATTATAGGATCACTTCGTTGTCCGTCGATCCGTCCGTCTGTCAAGACCGTTTTTCTCAGGAACGCGTGGAGGTATCAAACTGAAATTCATATCTAATACTCAGATCTACTGTCCCTTGGAGCTGTGAAAAAATCAAACTTCTAAGCCAAAGCAATCAAAAGATACAGCCGTTTATGCCGCAAATTTCCACAAATTTTCGAAATTCGCACGGGAATCAAAACTTACAGGGTACTTCCCGTGAACTTAGAATCTTGAATTTTGGTACGAAGTTACATCTTATAGTACAAATAAAGGAAAAATTGCGAAAACCGTAATTTTTTAGTCACATCATATAATGAAAAAATTTTTTTAGTAGCTATTCACGCACTGTTAGTCGCAGTTTACCTTTACAGCGTCACCGGGTTTGAGTCGGCGAGATCTTCATACAAGCGGTGGAAATCGTCCT